ACGTGACCATACACATTGAGCATCGCCGCGCGCGGACACGCTCGCCGCAGCGATGTAAAAAGGTGTCTGCGCGGCTGGATGAGCGCCTGGGGAAAAATGCTTTCGGGCCAATCGTCCTCTAGTTATCATTCTGACCTTCACGTGGAGTGATATTTGGATCAGAATTGTCATCATTATGTTCATCATCTTCATCGTCATTCTCATCATATTTTTGCGGCCAGTTTCAGCATGTTCATCATCGTTTTTATCATCAGTTTCATCAAGTAATTTTAGGAGTTTGCCTGAGCCAGGACAATGTTAATGTTAAAACTATTTAAATCTTGAAAAATCTTTCAATTCAACCTAACGAACTGAATGGCTTTAATGTTCTAGAAGGCCAACACATTAAGATCGTTAACAGCATCAAGTTCGAGGAGTTTGCTTGGGCCAGGACTACTTCAAATGTAAACTCATTTTCATGTGTTCATTTCAAACAACTTAACGTTTTTAATGGTTCAGAGGGCCAAACACATTACAATCAGTTTTTTTTAGTTTAGTGGTGTCAATATATCAGAAGGCCAAACACATTAACATATTTCAATTCATTAAAATCATGTAAACGAATTGAATGATTTTAATGTTTCAGAAGACCTAAAGAATACACTCATTAAATTCATCAAATTCAGTTAACTTCGGTTACATGAACTTACTGGTTTTAATGTTTCAGGAGTCAAGAAACATGAACATAGTTAAAATCATTACGCTCCAGGAGTTTGCCCGGGGCCAGGAATATGTGCCATATTTTCAAAACAACAAATTCCTTTAATGAAGTTAATGAGCTTCAATATTTTTTCAGAAGTCCAACAAATTAAATTGATAAGTTCATTAAACCCAATTAAATGAGTGTAATGATTTTAAAGTCTCAGACGGCGCAAGCATTAAAATCATTAAAACATTTAAGTTCATTCAGCCGAGCTTAATGCTGCACAAGGCAAGAAGCATCAAAACATGAATTCACTAAGGCTAAGTAGTAACTTTAAAGAATTCAATTTTGAGAAGGCCAAACACGTTAAACTCATTAGAATCATTAAAGAAATCTTTTAAATGCATATGATGCTTTTAATGTCGCAGAAGTCCCACAACATTAAATCGTACAATTCACCAAGAACTCATTTCATTCTAATGAATTTAACGGATTGAACGTTTCAAAAGGCCAAAAACATCAAAGGCTTTAAGTTCGGTAAACTCATGTTACTGAGTTTTAAGGTTTAATTTTTGCAGAAGGCCCGAAACAGCCCTTCTGAAGCATTAAAGCCATTGAGTTCCTTGAGCGGCTTTAATGTTAAAATAGTCCTGGCTCAGGCAAACTCCTAGAGTCTCATGGTTTTAATTATTTTACTGTGTTTGGCCTTCTAAGAACTAGACTTGCTAAATTCATGAATGGTTTTGGCAAGTTTAGAATTTATTTTTTCTGGCCTTCTGAAACATTAAATTCACTAGACTCATAAGTTTGTTTAATTGATTTTTAATATCCAGCACCCAAAACATAGCCTCTGGTAACCCAATGAAAGATTCAGGCCAGCCGGGTCCAGGACGGAGCCGGCGAAGCGCCGAGGCGCCGCGCCACTGAATTAAACTTTGCGAGGCCTGCGTTGCGGAGTGCCGGCCTGCGTTGCGCAAACTTTGTGAGGCCGTCACACACACTGCAACTTTTATTGCCGGACGGATGTAGGCGTCGCCCAAATCTGCGGCGGTGACAGATTTTACATAGAGAGCGGCAGCTCGTGGGGGGATGGTTTTGTTTAACAAATTACACTATCTCACATTTGCAATGATGTTGAAGAGTGATAGGGAACAGATGCAATGGGTGCAGGGCTGCAATGCACTGTCTCGAGTTGTTTTTTGCACTTTACCTTTTCGGGCTTGTTTGCAAGAGCTTCTGTGATCAAGTGCCCTGGTGTAGTTCACATCCAACCCCCGGTACAGAAAGCTAGAGATTGTTTCCTCTGGTTGGACTCGTTCCTTATTACATTCTTCTTAATTTTAAAATACAAGTAGAACTTGATACATGTGTTAAGTAGAGTTCATAAGAAAGAAGATAGAGGTCCCACAATTGTTAAGCGGCGCAAATGCCTAGTGATCTGCAAAGACCATTCCGTTGGACAGGAAATCCTGTGTAGCGCCTATTTTGAAATAGCAAAGCATTATTTCATTTTTACTTTAAACCAAGAATATGTGTGTGACTATTTCCTGATGAAGTTCTAGTTAAGATGGAATGACGTAACTTGATCAACATATTCAGTAGAATTCGTAACGAAAGAACTTAGAGGTTCCGAACGTGTTTAATACATGTTATTTAGATGCTTACTGATTTGCAAGGACAATTCTATTGGAAAAGGAATTTCCGTGTAGCATGTATGTTGAAGTAGATTAATCATAATTGAAAAATCTCATTTAAACTATACAATTTGATTAGAGTCTTTCCTTAATGATTTGTAGAAGATTTCAGTTAGACATTGGGTAGAATTTGAAAAAGACATTAAGTAGATTTCAGAAGGAGAGAATTCAGAGGTCCTAAAATTATGTTTTTGTGTTTACTAGCCCCAGAACTGCTAAGATCAGAAAGCACCGCCAACGGCCGTTCTCTAAAATTCAGATTGAACTTGAATAGGATTTCAACAGGACTCAATGAGGAAAGACTTGATCAGAATTCTACTGGAAATTACATCTTACATTCAGGATTTAGACGCAAGTCCTTTCCCAAGAGAACATTGCAGATTAAATATGAGTTTAAACGAAACTTGATAAGGAATGAACCCAATCACAACTTCTATTTCATCACAGAATTTGAATTAGAACATGTCTTTTGTAATTCATAGTTTGCACAGTATGTTCTTTCCAACCAAGTTTCTTTACAAGTAAGCTGACATTTAAACTCGAGCTTCCGCTCAAAAGTGGAAACAGCGCATGCTCGCAGTCCTCACAATTGCGTGAAAAGTAGAGAAAGCCTCGAGAAAACCAAGAAGCTATGGCAAGCACAGACTGGCTGCTGGAAAGTGATTGCTGGACAGACGGCGTTGTTTTTTTTTTTAAATCGAGTTTTCTCACGATGCATGAAAGTATAGAAAACATCGAGAAAACCAACAAAAACACAAAAAACAAAAGCAACAAAAAACATACCCCAACAGACACATGAGTCCATGGGTGTGGTGTTTTCTTGTGGTTTCTTGAGTTTTCTGACGATTTCATGAAAAGTAGAGAAAACCGCGAGAAAACCAAAAACACAAAACAAACACTTCCCAGCAGATACAGGAGTCCATGGGTCTGTTTTTTTTCTTCTTCTTTTTTTCCGTGTTTTGGGGGTGTGCCAAAAAACCACCCCCCAAGAGGTAACCCCAGCTTACTTTCGATTCTCTTATTCCACATGGTGCTGCCGAAATTCATGCATGCCTGCACTGCATGTCGGACGTTTCACGTTTACGAAGATGTGCTAGTTTAACAATTCGAAAACCGGCCATCTTGTTGTTATTTGTCGCTTGGAAATTGCGATTGGAACCAGTAAGCTGACCAAGATGTTTGCCTCTGCACGGAGAAGCTGAAACGACCTATGCCGCATGGGGCGTGGGAATGGCTTGCAGGTGACATGACAGTTGATAACACACGTGGCCATGTTTGGCTCAAGTCTCCCCACATGACTGGCGCTCCCAAATCCTCGTTCTGCGCAAAGGATAACCAACGCTCTTGCCCGAGCGCGAACATGATAGCAGCACCTGCGAAGGTTCTAGGACGACGCAAAGCTTGTTTCCCCACAGCGCCTGAATGGTACGTGACCGCAGGCCTCTGGAAAGATGCGCTGGAAATCCTTCCCTGGTCTTGCGACGGATGTTGTTCTGACGCCTTTTCGGATGTCGTTCTGAGCTGGGAACACTTGACGGGCTTGCCGCCAACATTGCAAGCTAGCTCCCTTGCCACAGCAACGCGCCCTGATTTTCCCGTCACAGCCAGTGCACAGAAGGTGAGAATCGAGGGAGTTCTGTTATTGTCCTATCTGGGCCGTCTTGAAATCGAACGCAATGCCCCGCAATGAAACCGCAGCCGACCGATAAGCTCGACTAGTGTCCTTTCCTGTCTCTGCAATCTCCCGCGTAGGCGCAGCGCTTTCTCAAGGTCAAGCGCAGATTTCGTGGCAGGCGCAGAACTCTGGCAAGTTCAAGCGCAGATATCGTGGCAGGCGCAGCGCTTTCTCAAGGGCTAGGACCTTGGCCTCGGCTCGCCTGCCACGAAATCTGCACTTGAATTTCCAGAATTCTGCGCCGTCTGCGCTTGACCTTGGGAAAGCGCTGCGCCTGCCCCGAAATCTGCACTTGAACTTGCCAGAGTTCTGCGCCTTCGAGGAAATCTGAGCTTGACCCTCCCGGAGCCGGTAAGACGACCGTCTGCCACCGCAAAATCGAAGACTTGCTGGCGGGCGGCAGCCGTGTCCTCTTTGCGCTGCCCACCGCGCAGCTGCATTGTCGGAAATCGATGGATAGATAGATAAAGTGTGGAAAGTAAGTGGATAGATAAATAGAAAGATAGAGAAGTATAAGGTAGATAAATGGATGGGTAGATTATAGAGAGATAGACATAAGGATAGAGAGAGGGATCGATAAGTCGATAAAGAGACAGAGGGAGAGAGGGGTAGAAAGAAGATAGAGAGAGACAGATAGAGAGAGCGAGAGGTACAAAGATAGGTTGATAGATAGATTCATAGACAGAGAGACAGAAAGATAGGTAGGTAGGTAGACAGACACATAATGATAGTTTAGAGAGAGCGAAAGAATAAGAACGAAAGGAAGTATGCAAGAAAGAAAAGAAAGACAGAAATGAAATAAAGAAGGAAGGAGGAAAGGAAAGGACAGGACAGGAAAGGACATGACAGGAAGGAAGCAAGAAAGAAGGAAGAGACACGAAGAAAACATAAGAAAGCAAGAAGCCGCGTCTTGGTACTTTCGTGCACCTCCGAACTATCCTTGGCCCAGGAAGACAACAACATGGTCCTCTGCGTCCGCGACTGGCGGCTTGCGCAATGCCTCGCGGAGGGTTGGCTGCCGTTGGAGCCGTTGCTGGAGCGCGCCGCAAGGGAGTCAAGGGTCCTGGCGTGGGCTTGTCTTCAATGGCTTTTGGCTTCCACGAGGATTTTAACGCCTCCGGCTCAGTCCGCCGACGTTACAGGCCTGCTTTCTTATATGTGTCCCCTTGAAATTTTCCCATTGCACATTTTCCTTTGCAATTGTTCCCTTGGATTTTTCTCCTTGTGGGCGTTTCCTTTGGAATTTCTGCTTGTATGTGTCCTGTTGGAATGTGCCCATTTGAAGTTTGCCTTTGGACTTCTCCCATCGGGATTCTTCCTTTGGAATTACTTCTTTAGGATTTTCCAGTTGGAGTTGTTTTATTGGATATGTCCCCTTGGACTTTTCCTTTGAGATGTTTTTGCCTTCGGAAGTGGAATTGTCTCCTCTGGCATTATCGCATTTGATGTTTTTGCTCTTTGGTTGTCTCCGTCGATCCCCTTAGGGAACCGGTTCTATATCGCTCTTTGGAATGTTACGATTTCTCCAGTGGAAATTATCCATTGTCGAAAACCGTAGGATCTTACTGAAGTTAAATCTCAAAAACCTCAATGGCTTAAACTCTGAAAATCTTAGTGGCCTAACGCTTTAAGCCCTGTTAAAGCTGAAAGTGCTGGAAGTGTCTCGTTGGATTTTTGCCTGTGGTACTTTTCCCTTGGACTCTCCCATTGGCGCTGTGAATTTTCCAATTCGAATTTTCCCATTGGGCGGTTTCCTTTGAACCTTGCCCAATGGAATTTTCCTGTTGCAAATTGCCTATTTGAAGTCTTCCTATGAAGTTCTCCCCTTGGGATTTTTCGCTTTGGAATTGCCCCACCTGGCTTTTCTCAATTTTCCTGTTGGTTCCCTTGAGAATTCTCGCATCATATTTTTGCTTTTGGAGTTTTACGATTTCTGTTTCCATTTGAACAACCTTTTCACCTTGGGTTTAAATCTGAAGTATGAATGGCTTAGAATCTGAACATCTTAGTGGCCTTAACGTGTTAAAATCTTCATAGCTGAATGTCTGAACATCTTCATGGCTTAAACGATTAACACCTTGATGGATTGAAATCTCAGAATCGTGATGGCTGAAAACCGTACAAACTAAATGGCTCAATGTGTTAAATTCTTAATGGCTTAGCATCGTAATAGCTGAACACGTGAACATTTTAACGGATTAAACTCTGAATCATCTGCACGGCTTACAATCATAACATATGAGTGGCTTATTGCTTATTGTGTTAACATCTTGATGGCTTGGCTGAACATATTAAAAGCTTGAACGGCTTCAAACCTTGGAAGCTTAAAGGAGTATGAGTAACCCCTCAGAACATTTGTGGCTTAACGTGTTAAAATCTTAATTGCTTAAAATCTAAACAACTTAATGGGTGAGCGTCTAAACATCCTAATGGCTGAACATCTTGGATGCCACAAGAGGTGAATAGGGACCCTCGAGTGGACCCTCTGTGCCCCTGTTTTCTCAAAAATGTCATCCAGATAATGCTAGTGATGTTGGTGATGCTGGCGGTGTTGCGCAAAAGTGGACCCGGGGGCATCGAACGCCCCAAGGTTGTTTCTCAAATTGTTCCTTGTATGAAAGGGTTTAGCCTACAAAAAGGGAACGTCTTGGAATCACCGCGTGCTACGTGGCCACCCCCTTATTGTTCTTCCCGCAGCCCTTTCTCATTTCTCCTTTCGTCTTTCTTCTTCATTCTTGCTTCTATGCGTCATGCACGATAGCCGTTGCGCTATACCGGAGAAAAGGAATCCTTGCAGCTCGCTTTATACAGCATTCCTACAACACAACTACCAGCAGCATCCAACAGTCTCTACATCCATTATTGGGACATCGTTGCCTCTTCAAATAGATCCAGCGACCGTAACGAGACCGTAACCATAAGTGGCGCTCTGTCCTGTGGGGCCGAGTTGGGAGGTAGCGGAGCAGGTTTTTCAGACGGACCCATTCAAGATGTCATCCGATGGAGATGGAGGCCTATTCAAGCGCAGGTCGACCAGGTGGCTTCACTGAAGAGTCGCGCTTTACCGCTGCTATTGTACGACTGCCAGGATCCATCAAATTCATCCTGCAGGAAGAGGAAGGTTTGAGAACAAGAAAAGATCTTCGTCGGCGCCACCCTCCAATCCGGATATTGATCAACTAACAGATTCTATGATGGATGTCAAACTGGGTTAGCGTTACAGACTAACGATGCTTTGGGACGTGTTTCATGTGAATGCCGTTGACGAGAGCGTCGACTGACCAAAGGGAGAGAGATTGTTGCTTTAATCCTGCAATCCTTCAGGCCAAGCAACAGATCCGATTTGTTGTACACTATCGAGCGTTTGATCAGGTCGGAGTACCCGAGAGACAAGAACATTTGCGGAAGACACCCCAAGGGAGATTACGCTTCAGGGTATCTTGTGCCAGAAAATCAAGAACAGCAAGAAGCTGGAGTTTGGTCTCAGTGCTTATGCAAGACTACCAGATTCTCAGCCGGAGAAGACCTACAGGTTTGTATTAGCACAACAACTTCGGACCAATCGCAAAGAATTTGTATTGGATATGAACGAGGAGTCGGTCAAGAACATGCTGAAGAGCGAAAAGAATGCCGCCGCAGCTAAACCCTCGGACGAGAAGAATGGCAAAAAGAGTGACAACAAACCAGCAGCACCTGTGTTGCCAAAGGCAAAGCGAAGGATCGCGAGAAGACGGGTAAGCTAAGGCAGTGGAAAGGGCAAAAGCCAGGAAGGAAAGATGCGTATATCATCTCACCAAAGAAGGAGGATGTCCCAAAGGAAAACAGTCAGAAGCACAAGGCGCAAGCTGGGCGACAGGGGAAAAGGGGGCGGCAAGTCCGCACCTCGGTCGTCCCCCAGAGCGAGATCAACGCAGGCACAAGCTTCCGCCCCAGCGCAGAGCAACGCTGATCAGCCTCAAGCCAAGCCAAACCCAAAACCGCCGCTCCACCCATTGCTCAAAAGGTGCGCGCCACGATGCCTGCCACGGCCATCAAGAGGTCTATGGCTTCAGAACGCAAGAAGGATGATGATGAAGTTGAAAGAAAGTGAAGCCGAGGCGGCGACGGTACACCATTACCATGACGCTGGGGATGCCACGAGCACGGTGGTCAGGAAGGAGAATGGGTGGCCTCTAAAAGATACGTATATGGTTCCAGTAGATCCGTTAGTGCGACAGTGGCGACAAGGTGAAGAATCTGAAGGGTGAGAACGTGCAGCGGGCATTTAACTCCTGGTGCCGGGGTGGACACAAGACGGACCCACAGCGTAGGGCAACACCCCAAAAGCTTCAAGATGGTCGATCATCGGCGACTACTGGCTTATACTTGCCGATCAGGGCCGAGATTATGAGCGAGGTTGCCAAAGACACATACGGAACTCACATGACACCCACGAACGACAAGTGCGCCTTCGCCTTCAAGTACGACCAGGAGGAGGACAAAGTTGTTGAGGGGTGCAACAAAGCAAAGGAGTGAAGCGGTTGATGGGAACGGGGTTGGCAGATCCAAGGCAAAGTCCCTTGGAATCGACACCGCCCGAGAAAAAAAAGGATGGTCTTCCAAGCAGCAAATGGTACAACATCAACTTCGGATACGATGAAGCACCTTGTGGATGAGCTGAAAGAGACGGTCCAGCCATTTGTCCTGCAGAGGAGACTCCTACGGTGTTACGCATTGGTCGTCGATGTATGAAGATGGGATACTCTTGCGTTGGATAAATGGAAAGCTACCTTTCATGGTCACGCCCAAGCAAGAGATCGCTTGCTTGCATGTCAAGGATGACACACCCTATACATGAAGCAGAAGAAGGGAAGGAGGAGGAATCAAAGCCCAATGAAGAAAATGACGATGGCAAGCTACGAGGAAGAACATGCTGATGGACCACCTGAATTGATTGACTTCGGACCGCCCGGTGGGCGGGACCTGTGGACATACCAGTACGAATCGCCCGCCGGGTAAACTGGATTTTGAAATCGCCAGGGGCGATCCCAATGCCGAGCGTGAAGCGGTGATGAAGGTGAGCGTGATGATCCTGAAGCAGGTGTCAAGGTCGACAGCTACAAGGGGACGTCCATCATGGCGGGTGTCCTAAAGAATGACGCTCTGACACATTTTTTTACTTACTTAATTACAAACACACCGGAGCCCGTTCTGCGAATCATGAGACATTTCAGACCAGACTCGGAAATTCCATCGCGAAGTTAAGGCGTTTGGCGACTTGATCGCATTTGATCTGGCGGAGGCTTCCGGCGACGCTGAAGGCGACAAATCTGTGATGATTATTAGAGATATCTACACCGGCATCATCATGGGTTACCCGGTCGGAAGGAAGAACGCCACAACGGTGATCAACAGCACTTCTTGGGTAGAAGGAAGATCAAGCAAGCGTATTTCGATGGTGCGCCGGAGTTCATCAATGCCTGTTCAGAGTTGAAGATACCGCATGGTTTGTTACTTCCTGGAAAGACGCAGAACAACTTGCTTGCGCGCGCGAACCAGTTCGTCGTGGATCAGACCACAGCCTGTCTTGTACCTGCAGGGCTGCCGACATGCTATTGGGTGTACGCTATCACTACGCTATGTCACCTGATGAATATTGAGGAGATTGACGGTTTGCGCGGAGAGCGCTTCCAGGGGGAGAAGATACCGTTTGGTTGGTGAGTTTCAAGGGAGAAGTTCGAGCCGAAGGGAGAACCCAGCGTATTCGCGGGTTACAACCTGAGAGCAGGACTGCGCTGGGCCCGAAAGTATCGTGCCTGGGCTCTCACAACTCAGGAGAAGTTTCAGAGACGTTGGAGGGGGCCGAAGACGAACATTACGATCCTGATCTGGCGCACGCAGAGCCGGGGCAACTCGACGAGCTCGAGGAGATCGCTGCAATCATGCACGATGAGAAGGGCGAGGAGGCGCGCGGCCGGTTGAGGGCACTTCTGATCTACCCCACGTATCGTCTGGCAGGCCGAGGGACGGCGTCACACACAGAGATGGGAACGGTCA